ATGTCTCTTGAATAAAGTTTCAATGATAAACTATTTGGAGTAGATTTTCTTTTCGCAAAGAGGCTTAATTAATCAGCGTCTCAACTTTTTTAATTTCTGATACCAAATGTTAATTACAAATTCACGAACTTCAATATAAGTCTATTTAATAAGTTCATTATAAAGTCTATTTAAATTAGTTTCAATTTATCTCATCTGCAACTTCGTTTCTGTTCTAAAAAAATGTTTTTTTTACAGTGTTTGTAAAAAATTTGCGATTAAAATTTTTATAGACAGTAAAGTAAAGCATCCTGTACATTGTTAATATGTAAAATATAGCGCTCTTTACATATATATTATGAATATCTATGTAATTTATGGACGCTATGTTATTGGCAAAAGTGAGATAAAATCTCTATTTTGCATATTTTGCATACGACAATAATTTCGCATTACAACAATTGATTTTTATAGTTATTTCCAATTTTCTACTAAGTAACATTATTATTTACGATTTTTCTTTTAAAAGATTTTTAATTAAGCAATATTGTAAGCGATTTCTGACGTTTTGTTTATGCGGAAGAAATGATTTGTTCCTGAAGGCAGGATGCGAGAAACAACGCTCGGCTCCGCTGATGAATTAAAGACAAATTGAATAGAGTCGGGAAGCGTCGAGGGTAATCGTGTAAATCCGATAATTCGCCGATTTGATTAATGAATCGCGTCGGACGATTAGGGACAAAACGTTTTGTTCAATTCCCGTTCTGTCCCGGTTAATCTATAGACCGCAAATTAGCATGTCTATAAATCGATAGTCGTGATGCGCTGTAAAAAAAATTTCTCACCACTTTCACTGCCGATTTTTTGCGAAGATTTTTGCTCTAAACGACACTCAGTCGAGCTCTGTCATTTCTCAAGTAACACTTATTAATTATACTTACGATATTGGCACATTTTCGCATTTCTAATCTTGAGTTATTTCTTTTAATCGTTAATCTTACAAGAAAGCCGATTTTTTTCCTCGCGCCTTTTGCAAGTACTCTCTTGTCATTAAGCTGTTCAAAATCAATCTTACTTGATTTTGAAGTTGCTTTTCGTAACAATGAAATTCTATAAAGAGGAATCGACTCTCTCTCTCTCTCGAGAATCGATCAATTTGGTTTCGGACAGCGTGCCCATTAATTTCATTCACACACTGAGACTGTGCTGTGTTACATGTACATATTTATGTCCTTTTACACGCGATTTTATCGTGATTCTGCTTGATTGGCTTGAACGTCTTGAAGAAAGTTCGTTTCGGACGCTGCGACTCGTCTCTCTCTCTCTC